GAAAGAGGAGAAAGGAGGGGGGGTGAGAAAGAGGAGAAAGGAGGGGGTGAGAGAGAAAGGAGGGGGTGGATATTAATTGCGGGGTGTATTAATTAAGGGGGATGGATTAATTATGGGGGGTGGATTAATTAGTGTGGATTAATTATGGGGGGTGGATTAATTAGTGCGGATTAATTAAGGGTGTGTGTATCAATTAAGGGGGGTGGATTAATTAAGGGTGTGTGGATGAATTAGTGTGGATTAATGGATGAATTAGTGTGGATTAATTAAGGGGTATGGATTAATTAAGGAGTGTGGATTAATTAAAGAAAACCTTTAACATTTTTTACAGGGGTTTTTTTTTTTGGGGGGGGGTGCCAAGCACAGGATCCGCCCCGGATGCCAAATGCTCTAGGTACGCCCCTGTCTAGGAGCCAGCTCAAAAAGCTAGAAGCCAAGGTTTTTAAACTAACAAAGCTTTCTTTTCAATGACAAAAATACAATTCTTAAAGGGACACTATAGTCACCAGTGGTTCTGGTGTGTATAGCTTTTTCCTGCAGGATTTTTAATGTAAACACTGCCTTTGGGAAAGCAGGAGCCGGAGTGACATCATATCTCAGCTCCTGGCATCACCGCAGGGCGTGTGAGGGATCAGAGCAAGAAGAGCAGGAAGATTACAGCATCCACAGCACCTGGCTCCATTCTGCCATAGTTGCCTGCCGCAGGAAAGGGAAGGGGAAGGGGCTGATTCCACAAGGTTCTGACAGGCTGACAAACACCCAGGTGCCAGTACAAAATTCCTAGTCATCATGGTGACCTGGTGCCTGGGATTTGTTGAGCGCTGGCTTAGAGTGTTCCTTTAAAACTATTAGAATCTTAGCCTGGATCTTACAGACCTGTGAGTTTACGATCACTCTGTGAAAATCATTGGACTGGCCACTAACACGTAATACTAAGTTATACATGTATGAAAGTAAATAGATATACTTATCAGAATTTAACATGGTTTGAAAACTAACTTAAATACAACATGCAAACTTGTTAAAGTAAAATTCCGAACATGACTACTGTACTAAGACCTCTATTAATAAGCTTTCCAAATGATTCAGTACAACTGGAAAAAACTTTCCAAACGATTTGTCTACAGAAGTCACCATTAAAAGAATACTATAATGTCAGCCATATAAACCTTAACAGTAAACAGGAAAATCACCTTCTTAACAGGGGATTTTCAGCCTCTTGAAAATTCCCATAGGAAACCATTGATTCAATACTTTCCTATGGGGAAGGCCTAACGTGTGCAGCACTCGCCGCCCATGTGCATTAGGTTCCTCCTCTTGCTGAAGTCGGAAGAGGTGGAGACGGAACCAGCATCGAGGGACGTTGGCACTGGAACCAGGTTAGTTCCAAACATACCAAGTATGCAGTTATATTACAGATCCTTGATTGTGGCACAAGGCTTAATTTTGTAATGGCAATATGTACAGCATACAGCTCAACTGTGCTACTAAATCAAGGTTGGGAAAGAAAAATATGAATGAATGGGTACGAGGACACAAATAGGTAATGGGAAGGGAATTACAAATAAGAAGTGAGCAGAGGGACACATATTGGGGGGAATATGGGAAGAGAGTTAGAAATTACCGCAAGTACATGAACAATGGGGCACAAATGGACCGATATGGTGAGATGGCCACAAATGAGGTGAAACGGCAGAGAAAGAGGAACATTTAAGGAAAGGGACACTGTATCGAATTCAAATCCTAACTGTAAAATTAAGGATAAAAAATTATAGCTGCTGCCAAGTTGAACAATTTCTTCAAATCAGCTATGTTTGCTCTTAATCTAGCAATGCAAATTTAAATTCACTAAAATTCCTAGTTTATGAAATAACCCCAGAAGAATGTGCAATGTAGAAGATGGCCTTTTAATATGCTGCACGTTAATAGAATTATCTTACAGTGCCCTTCCTGAGATTGGGCTCTAGTTCTGCCCCTGTGTGGTGTTGTGTCCAAAAGTTTCTCCATCGTGATCCCAAATACACACCTTTTTGCAGACAGTTATAAGTAAACACATTCTCTTCTTCCTGCAAGGACTCCTAATTAATTTAATCCTGAGTCAATTGAATAAACATTAAAGGGTGTTTGGTTGCCATGTATCCAAAGCAGCTGCTAAGACTTGATACTGTAGTTTCCATTCCAGAAATGACATTGCTCTTTAGCTTTTAACAGCACATGGAATCCATGACTGTGTATGTATATTTTCATTCTAACTTTTATGTATCTTGTTTTGCTCTCATCTCTTCAACTTTCAACTACTTGGAGTTTTCATTTAAAGACTTCCATCTTTGATGGAACATTCCAAGCACCATAACTACTCCAGTGTACTGTAGTGATTATGGTGCCAGAAGTGCCCAGGCTCTCTTTCAGGGTAATAGTCAAACTAGTTTCAAATATTTTAACAACTTACCTAAGCAGGGCCGGACTGGGAAAAAAAATTGTCCCGAATATTTTTTAATCACAGCGCCCACTGAGAAGGGGGCAGGACCAGAGAGCGTGTGTTTTGTCATGACCATGAGAAGCATGCCCCCTCTCAAAGTGAGCATGTTGGTTTAATGCTCTTTCAGGGCAGACCATGTGCAGAGCTCTGCTGAAGACCTCCAGCATGAGAAAAACGCCCTGTATTTGTTTTGCGCAGCGAAAGCAAATTTATTAGCATCCTTGCATTGTGTTTGTAAAGAGGAGACTATATTTAAAAGAAGAAAAACTATCACATGAGGACATAGTCTTAAATTAGAGGGGCAAAGGTTTAAAAATAATATCAGGAAGAATTACTTTACTGAGAGGATAATGGATGCATGGAATAGCAGTTTATGTATGTGTGGGATAGGCATAAGGGTATCCTAACTATAACATATGGCCAGGGGACAGGGAGTATTTATAAAATTGTGCAGACTAGATGGGCCAAATTGGGGTTGGGGGGGGGGGAGGTGCAGTGTGTGTGTTTGATGATGCTATGTGTGAAGGGTGCAGAGTGTGAGGGGTGCTGTGTGTGTGTGTAGGGGGGGTGTGACCGTGTCAAGGCTCCGACCTCATAAGAGGAACCCAGCGGAGCTGCTGGCCAGGGGTCCTACATGTCCTCTCTCTCCTCCAGCCCCCGCCAGCAGCCACATGTTACTGCCTGTGGGCCGGTGAGGGAGTTTTTGGATCTCATCACTAGCCCTCATGGCACACAGCAGGGCCGGCGCTCGGATAGTGCCGGCCCTGCAAGGGCCGACAGTGGAGATCTCTTGATCTCCCCTTTCGACCTCGGCCCTTGGACATCACGCCAATGGTCTCAGCCTGCAGGATAGCATTTAGCTTTCATTACCTCCCGTGAGCTTAGCAGTGTAGAGCAGGGCTGGCTCAGTGGCTGGAAGCGGAAGCTGGCTTTTACGGAGGAGGTGGAAAGGGACCTTCTGGACCCCAGGTTCTCCTGGCATGATAAGCACTACAGCATTGTGTCCCCTCGCCTTACCTTTCACTAAAGAACAGTCCCTATTTGTGTACAACAGTCCTGCATTTTATTTGTTGTATCATACAGTATGTTTATATATGTTTTATTCTCTGCACATTGACCCCCATGCACTGTTGACTGTTTCGGATATCAATGTGCTTAATGTGGTATTTGTTGTACCTGGAAAATTACAGCATCCTAGCCTTCCCAAATTCATTTTGTGCCTTCTTTCTCCCTTCTTACTTTTAAAACCAATTATAATTTTAAAACTAAAAAAATGTAAATTATCCAAAAAACAATGTTTTGGCTATTGAGCAGTCATTACGAACATCTATAACTCAACAATGAAATTCATCACATCTAGTGAACAGCCTATATTTACTGCAATTTTTTTGATACTACAGTTTGAACAAAGAATTATGGAAACAATGTATATACACAATGTTGCCAGTGAAACGACAATACATATAAGTATTAAATGCACAATTACAACATGTTTTTCTGCACTAAATGAATACAAAGAAATGGATAGTAATACTAGCAATTGTGGATCTGAGAGTATATGAATGGGTTACATTAACAAATTCGCAATGCAAGGCTGTTATAGTAACCAGGAAATTGCAATGACACAGTGTATTATTACTCAGCCTGTTTTCCAAGAGAATAAGCTAACACTGTGAGATTAAAGTAAAGTCCAATTTCCGGTGACTGTTACAATGCTGTTTGCAATGCTTATTATAACCCTTTGGGCTGCTTCCTTCGACATTCCCCTGATTGCATTAAAATTATAATTTAGATAAGCATCTATTGCTCTGTGAGCACACACATAAACACCTGCCACTGCTTTTGTGAACTCTCTCACTGTCTACTTGTATCCTGCAATTGCACTGTTATTTACCCTCTTTACCCCATTGAACTTTATGAGAAAGACTTACATCATCACTACCTATTCTTTCCCTGTAGATGATCAATTCACTAGCAATTTCTCTTAATCTTTTCACAGTGCACCGTGCATGCACTCCCACTTGTCTATATTAACAGTGATATTTACCAGAAGTGGGACTTTCCGTTCTTTGTGACATTTAAAGGAACTGCCCCTTAGATTATGTCATACTGACGCTTAGCAGTGCTGTTTCTATGAACTGCGTAATAGTATTGTTTAGCAACTACTGTGTCCCTAGAATACAAAAATATAAATTTAAATCCACCGTCATAGAAAATACAGATAACAACCTTTTATCACTTTATAAAAACAGGTGTATTAAATTAAATATTAACTACTTTAATGTTTTCTCACCTTCTCTTCCTCAAATGATACACTGGATTTGGTCTTATCATATTTTGACCCCGGTGCTAAACTGTCTACTTAAAAACCATATCACACACACATCTATTAAAGATACACTATAGTGTTAGGAATACAAACATACATAGTTTTAGTCTATCTGTACTAATGTCCCTCTGCATCAGGTTTTGTTGGGAAGTTCTAAATTTGTGGCCGAGATCTCCAGTGAGAATAATTTCAGCCAATCCAATGCTTTACCATAAGAAAGCATTGGGATGCTACTGTGCTTGCAATCAGATGGTCCTTATTAGACTATATGATTGCAATAGCCGAACTCGGTGAGTTGGTTCACTCGGTCAGGGTGACAGCCATAAGAGGCATTTTAACACTGCAATGTAATTGTTGCCATCCCACAGAATCAAAATATTTTTAAACGGACAGGGACATTGCATCCATACCATAATATATGTACAGTATCACCATGCAAGTTATACTTATTGCTAATATATTTTCTCTTTCTAGTTAAAAGATTATAAATGTTTGTACTGTATTTAAAAGATGTCCTACTACTTGTTTTACTGTATTTTCTGACATTTTTTTGCAATGTATTTCATGATTTGTCTTGCAATACTTCTGTTAACATGTTTTCTGATTTCTGTGTAACATTAAAAACAATCTGAAACATGTTTATTAGTTCTTCTGAAATCAGTGGTGAGCTACGTCGAGTGCATGGTGTACTCAGAACCCATAGTTTTTAACCCCTTAAGGACACATGACATGTGTGACATGTCATGATTCCGTTTTATTCCAGAAGTTTGGTCCTTAAGGGGTTAAAGGAGCACTATAGGGTCAGGAACACAAACACGTATTCCTGACCCTATAGTGTTAAAACCACCATCTAGCCCCCTTGGTCCCCTTTGCCTCCCTAAAGATAGTAAAATCTTACTTGTATTCAAGTCTGAAGCGGCTGCCTCTGCCTGTGAACTTCCTCTGACATCATCAGAAGTGGTGGCCTGATCCAATCACAATGCTTACCCATAGGATTGGCTGAGACTGACAAGGAGGTATATCAGGGGCAGAGCCAGCACAATTCAAACACAGCCCTAGCCAATCAGCATCTCCTCATAGAGATGAATTGAATCAATGAATCTCTATGTGGAAAGTTCAGTATCTGCATGTAGAGGGTGGAGACACTGATTGTTTGCCTGAAGGTAATTATTCTACTCCCCAGAACAAATTTAATAAGCTGTAATTGTTCTGGTGACTATAGTGTCCCTTTAATTTTCAGATTTACAAGGTAACTGTGGCGCCGGGAGTACTATGGTTGCAATGTTTGAACCCTGGCCTGTTGTGGCTCTTGGTAACTTGGTAATTTCAGTAGCTCTACTATTAGTCTACTCCATCAAAAATCATGTATGATGACTGTGTTTGGGAAAAGGTTCCCAAAATGCAGAGTCTACACAATTGCTATTAATAGGTTTTGAAGGGAGATGGGGAGATAGGTCAATTAGTAATATCTTTGTTTAAAAAGCTGAGCAGCTGATTAACCAGAATAAACAGATGCTTTAACATACATAAAAGCATTAAAAAAATCTATTAGTTTATTAGTGCCAGAGGGTTATAACATCTGCTCACTTATCCAGTGCTGGAAGAAACAGTATGATTAGAGCTGTAGATACTTTTCCTTAATATTTAACTAAGATTTCCCAGCCCATCTGAAATATATCCATGGGAAAGTTCACAACAAGCCAAACACGGTTTGAAAAATAATCTAGGCCTACCATTTCATACTGGATATGGATTGTATCACTGATATTTCCTTCCAAATATTTTTGTTTAGGTTACATTAAAGGAACAATCCAAGCACCATAACCACTACAGTGCATCGTAGTGGTTATGATGTCAGGACTGCCCAATAGTCCGTCCCCCAATGTAAGTAGTCATACTGTTTTGTAATGGTTTGACTTCTTACCTGGGGTCTGCCAGACCTTGCCTCTTCAGTCAAATAAATAATGAAATGTTGCACTCCGCCATGAGAGAAATACTAATGAAAAGGGAAGTAATATTAAATCAATCTTCTCTGTATTCAATATCTATATAAAATATATAGCAAAATAGGTAGATCCACAGTGAAAACTACACAAAGGTACATGAAGAGAGGGAAGAGAGGAATACCACACACTCACAAAAACCAAGGTAAAAAATTAAACTGTTAGCAAATGAAGCTCCTGCACCGCGGTCCATGCTGCCTGCCCATGCTACAAGAGGTAGGAGGCACACTAAAGAGAGGAGGGGAGACGGCACTAAGGGACACTGGGGGCAGGAATAAAGAGGAGAGACCACTAAGGGAAAGATGGGGGGCTGGGGGAGGAAGAGCATTAAGGGACGGGAGGGGGGCAGGGAAGAGCACTATGGGACAGGGGGGCAGGGAAGAGCACTATGGGACGAGGGCAGGGGAGGGCACTATGGGACAGGGTGGCATGAAATAGCACTAAGGGTCAAGGGGAGAGCATTAAGGGAAAGGGGGGGTAGGGGAGAGCATTAAAGGGCAGGAGAGAGCACTAAGGGACGGTGGCAGGGGAGCGCCCTATGGGACAGGGGGGGCAGGAGAGAGCACTATGAGACGGGGGCAGGGGAGAGCACTATAGGACAAGGGGGCATGAAAGAGCACTAAGGGTCATGGGGAGAGCATTAAGGGAAATGGGGGCAGGGGAGAGCACTAAGGGACCAGGGGGCAGAGGAGAGCACTAAGGGACAGGAGCAGGGGAAAGCACTAAGGGACAGGTGGGGAGGGGAGAGCACCTGTCCCTTAGGGATAGGGGGAGAAGAGGAGATGAGACCCTCTAAGGGATAGGGGGAGAAGAGGAGATGAGACCCTCTAAGGGATAGGGGGAGAAGAGGAGATGAGACCACTAAGGGACGGGGGGAGTGAAAGAGATCATTAAGGGTCTCACACACAGAAACACACCATGCTTCCCTTACCCATACACAATGCATACCTCACACACAGACACACAATGCAGCCCTTGCACACATACACAGAAACAAACAATACATCACTTACATACCAAAACACACAATACGTCCTTAAGCGCACACACACTCACACACTGCTTCTCTTACACGCACACAGACACACAATCAGGGCCGGTGCAAGGATTTTTGCTGCCCTAGGCAAAATAAAGATTTGCCGCCCCCACCCCCCAGTGACATCACAATGCCCCACCCATATGATCTGCCCTATGAACTAACACCAGTGCTGCACACAGTGTGTGTTTACATTAAAAAGCCTGCAGGGACAAACTATAGACACCAGAACCACTTCATTAAGCTGCAGTGGTTCTGGGGACTATAGTGTCCCTTTAATGTGAGGTGAATTAGAGATTAGTGTCACTAATAATATACTAGATTGCCTGCTTACAACTAGATGAGGATGGTGATGGGCTCTGGCTGCAGTTTGGCTCCACTGGTATGGTGTAGAACAGGATCTTTGGAGGCTGTTTGTAACTGTGGTCACAAAATTCAATGTTCTGGAAGTGTGGGAAGCAGCTCTATTTTTGGGGCCCCTTACACAGCTCAAGGTCTGGGCCCTAGGGCCTGATGGTGAGTATGTCCATAAGGCCCACCCATAAGTCCACCTATATGTTCGCTCACAGGGAGTGGAGTGTGTAGGGGATGTGTTATGTGTTATTGTAGAGGATCTAATGTGTGTGCTTATGGAATGTAGTGTATAGGGACACCAGTTTGTGTAGGTGATGCAGTGTGTTTGTGTGTAGTGGAAGCAGTGTGTTTTTGTGTAAGGGATAGAAAGCAGTGTGTGTTTGTGTATAAGGGATGTATTGTGTGTTTCTCGTTGTGTGTAAGGGATGCATTGTGTGAATCTGTGTTTGTATGCATAAGGGATGCAAAGTGTGTTTCTGTGTATGTAAGGGATGCAGTGTGTGTGTCTGTAAGGGATGCGTTGAGTGTGTGTAAGAGATGCATTGTGTTTCTGTGTGTGTGTAAGAGAAGCAGTGTGTGTTTGCATGTGTGTGTGTGTGTAATGGATGCATTGTGTGTAAGGGAAGCATGTTGTGTTTCTGTGTGTGTAAGGATGCATTGTGTGTTTCTGAGTATGTATAGGGATGCATTGTGTGTGTGTGTGCGTAGTGTGAAGAAGCTTCCTGTCCTGCCCCCTGTCTTATAGAGCTCTCCCTTCTGTCCCTTAGAGATCTCCCCTGCCCCTTAGTGGTCTCTCCTCTCCTCCCCCCACCTCCCTTAGTGGTCTCCTTTTCTCTCCGACTTTCCACTAATGGTCTCTCATCTCCACCTTAGTGGTCTCTGCTCTCCTCTGCCCCCCCTTTTCATTAGTGGTCTCTCCTCTCCCCCCATTTCCATTAGTGGTCTCCTCCCCCACCCTTAGTGGTCTCTTCTCATCCCCCCTTTCCATTAGTGGTCTCTCCTCTCCCCCCTACCCTCCCCTGGTGTTCTATCCTCCACCCCTCCTCCCTCTCTTAGTGGTTTCTGCTGTCCCTCCACCCTCCCTTAGTGGTCTCTCCTCACCCCCCTCCCCTAGTGGTCTCTTCACCACCCCCTCCATCCTTTAGTGGTCTCTCCCTCCCTACGTTCTCCTCAACCACCCTCCCTGTGTTCTCATCTCCCCGTGTTGTTCTCTTCTTCCCTCCCTGTGTTCTCATCTTCTTCTCCCCATGTTCTCCTCTTCCCCGTGTTCTCCACTTCTTCCCTCCCGTGTTCTCACCTAACCGAATTGCCAAATTTCTGAGGTCCTGAATTTCGGAATGCCGATCCGAACCCGAATTTCCAAAGTGCCGAAGTGCTTTGGATTTCTGAAAAGTGGTAAAACAA